CCGCTGATGAAGATCATGGTACTGAGTAGAAAATGGGTATGATCCAACAAATCTGTCAGAAAATCCCGTACTTCCCATGTCAAACTTCTGCCACAAATATTTATCATCAACACTGTGTCTCTTTGCACCAATCATATCTATCAGGGACTCGGATTCTTCATTAGGATCCATTTCCACATCATGTCCAAACAATTTGCATTTGCCTAAGTCACTACTTTCGACTTCTCTGTTTATATTTTTGTCAGAACTATGTGAATATCTACTACCTCCTAACGTATCATCTAGCTGACTTAAAATATACTGAGGTTGATCTGAGGGTTGATCTGAGGTTGCATGAGCTTTGCTACCACCAACATTCTGCCACAGAAGTGGTAATTCACTGATGCCTCCTGTCTTCCACAAGTATGTGGATGGAGGCAAAGAAGAGAATTTGCGGTCCTGCCAAACTTGAGCACCAATCATTGGCACTGGCCGTGGTTGTCTTGATGCAAATTTTGATTGTTCTGATTGATAGAAAGGAGGAAGTTTGGGCACTATTTTCAACAGTCCCTTTGGTTGAAATTGGTCCACTACATCACCTAATATTATCTTGTTGCTTTGATTATAGATTGAACCACTGCCAGAAGCCTTCACTTTCAGAACACCCTTCGCGGTACAGTTTGGAGGAATGAAGTTCTTTCCTTTGGCAGATGGAGTAGGCAATACTCTATTTGCTCTAACACTTACCATACCCTTCATTCTCTTAGATAAATGACAAATAAGCTCATCATCACCACTTGACACTGTTCCATCTTTTGGGACTGTATTAAGGTCAAGTAAATTGACATCCTTGCACTTTCTCCTTGTTTTCCATATATTAAGTCTTGCTCCAACACCAGTACCCTTGTCACACTGGTCCCATGCCCTTCTCATGTCTATGAACATTTGAACCATTTTGTCATGATAAGATATTAATGAATGGTAATGCTTTCTCCTCTGCAGAAACAGCAAGGATTCTCTTAAATGAGTCACCTTTGGAGGATAAAATCCAGCTTTCAATCTTTTGAAGAACATATCCATGGGATTACCGAAATATATATCACTACCACCAAGGAGCTCACTCATAGTTAGCCAAAAATTCTGCTGGTCCATGTCAGGAAGGTAGGCTGAAAGAGAGTACCTTTCTTCCTCTGTCAAACAAGAGTTCCATGTATCGACAGACAATATTCCCCTCAAATCTGGTAAATCAAAAAGTTCATATGGTATGCTGCAAAGCTGACCTTCTACCATGCCAAGCTCACAGCCACTTTCTGTGGAGTCACAGTCATCAAGATCATCAGCTGAATCTGCTCCTGAGACTGGGTTGTCTTCCATTCCCCTTCCATAAGAAAGGTGACTTTGGAAACTACTGACCTCTGAATTCCAATAGGGAACCTTATGTATTCCCATTGGCACCAGAGAGACAAAGAAGTCCACAATCTAGTCACATATAGATGTCAAAGCACCAAGCAAAACTTCATAACCTGAAAAGCACATAGATACATGCAATAAAATTAGCATAACAACTGCATTTTATTTGCAGATTTTCTTTCTCTAATTTAAAACCACAAATAGGTTAAAAACCCCCCATTTGATTTGAAAATTTTCAGAGTTCTATAGACAGAAACATCATAATATTATTCATAACCCACCAGGTGAAGTAGATTGTACATAGATTAAATTTTCCTCACATTATATCATAATAACCCGAGGATAGCTCAACACTCATTAAATTTTCTTTAGTAAATTGTTCCTAAAGAAAAATCCACTACTGGCTTCTTAAACACTAAAAAAGACAATTAGCCACAAAAATTCACAGATTCCACTTGTAGTCAGCAAAAATGCATTCATCAACTTCCACAAGACACTCAAAAACACAGAACTTGATGAAATACTAGAATATAGCAATCAACGGAGATTCAACATTCAGAAAATCCTCTAGCAATCGCACAAACAAGAAATCAACAGATCAAACCAACAAAGAAACCACTGTAGCCCAAATTTCAAAGGTAAGCAAAAGGGAAGAGAGATACCCATAAAAGCACACGATCAAGCAGAGGAATACTGCAAATCAATTGATCAACCCCACCAAAAAGAAGAGAAATTTAGCAAATTCAAACTGAAATTCAGTGACGAATACAGCAATGATGAAGCAGAGAGCTAATCTAGGGATGGACTATGGAGTGAGGTGGTGCGGAAAGGCTTTACCTTTGCTGCATTTCGAGAAAAACGGAAAACCGAAACTGCCAATAGGAATAAAATCCCTTTTGCTTTTTCCCCTTTTAACCTGAACCCGTTAGCTGTTGCGTTGCGCTCTGAATTTTTTTTTTTTTTTTGGATTTTGCTTTGGAATTTGCTACTGCTGGTGTACAGCATGACAAATGCCATGTCCCTGACTCTGCAGTTGCCTTTATGTCAAAGAAAAGATAAATAAAGGGGAAAATATCTATCTACTGTTACGTTACGTGTCGTCTTCGTCAGGGAAAAAATGGAAACCTTACAACGAGGAAACGCACCTCACCGGAATATGCAGTCACCAAAACCCAACTCGCCAAGTTCTCCCCTTC